TTGCCCCATGGTCAAAAAAACCAAAATTCTTGTGCCTGCACCAACCTCTAAGCCATTTATTTATGAGAAGGGATTTTTGATCCTCTCAGTGTCCTTCCCCACCACTGAAGGGATAGAAGAGAAGACCACCTGCACTCCCGCACCATCAAGTACCCTCCCCAGACCCTTGAAGTCATTTTTGATAGCCCTCAGGCTTCTCTTGGCAGCATCATCACTGCCAACCTGAACTACCAATAAGGGGTAGTAGTCAGATGGACGAATAAGCCTAGGAAGCTTTCTAGAGATATCCTTGACTCGGGCCCTAGGGAGACAGCACACTTCCCTCCGGGTGGGATCAGGTCAACATATCGGGCCCTCAGTTCCTTTTAGAAGGGAATCACCTATGACTATCACCCTCCTTTCTTTTCTGGAAGAGGCAGTCTTCAAGCGTGGAGCCGACCGCCTCTCCTTAGGAAAGCTCGGAGGCTGTTCCTTCACCTCATTCTCAACCTCCTCACCCTCCAGTTTTTCAGGGTTTCAAACCTATTACTTAGGGGCACCTAAGGAACCGAGGTAGGTTGGGATGGGCGCCGCCTGCGTCGCTGAGGTGGGACCTGCTGCCATTCCTCCTCTCCTCTCAAGTCAGCTCTCTTGGTTTGACCACAGCAAGGGAGAGGGTCCACTACAGGCTGGGGGTTGCAATCTCTGCTTGTTTCTTGCAGAGAGTTACACCACCAGTCTATCTCCCTCTCACACTCTCTAATAGTTCTTAACCTCTCTACCTCCTCCCTGAGCTCCACCACCAGGCTGAGCAGCTCATCCACCTGTTCGCACCTCGTGCAGGTGGCATCCCTCCCAAGCACACCATCCAGTAGAGACCCATGTTTGAACTTGCGGTCTCCGGGTCAGCCAGTAGGAGAGTGGTCACCTGAGCAAGGACAAGAACACTGACGTGTCCTGCCACGGGACCCACCTCCCACACCTACTGCTGCAGTAACGGGCAGCGTGGGCTGCGCTCACACTCTGCCTTCCCTCCCTGCTAGCAGTGGGCAGTAGCACCCTTTTCTCACCAGACACATTAGGCACGGTAGGTAGGCGGGAGCTAGCTCCCGCACTCCCGGGGGCTGCTTATAGCCTCGCGGAGAAAGGGTCAAGGTTAATCACAGAGATAAGAGTGAGCAGTGCTGGCTCCACCTCTGCTGTCTCAGCAGCCCGCCCACAAGCTGCCAGCCCCCAGCACCGGCACAGTGCTTTTGCGGGTTCAAAAAAGCCCTAAAAAGAGCTTTTTGGATGGCCTTTTTTGCTTTAGGTCCCTTCCCCAGTGCAGTCTTACCTGCCCTGAAGCTGGTCTCTGCAGAAGCCACCTGGTTGGTCAATACCGGAGGATCTATCAATCGTGATGGTCCTGCTAGCTCCCTACATACTGTCAAGGGAGATAAGGTCCCTGTAGTACATGTAAAGAACATGTTGGGAAAAGCAGTTTGGGTCTTTCCAGCTTCTGGAAAGGGCAAACCTTTTCGTGGAACTGTTTCTGCCCAGGGACCTGGGTCCACTTAGTGGGTGATGCAGAGAAACGGGGATGTTCAGTGTGTACTACAAGGAAACTTGATGCTGGGGGAGTGCAGACAGTAATTCTATGTATATGTATATAGACATGTGTGTAATGCATTTTAATCATTTTTGTTTGTTTGTATACATGTGTGTATATATATATATATATATATAAAGCATGATGTAGTGATGTAGAATAAGGGGTGGAATGTCATGGTTTTATGTTTTTTGATTTTCAGTATTCCACATCAAAACATCATGTACTGGAATTAAAGTGTTAATGCTCCAATTGCAGGTACCTATCCCTATACATTGTGGAAGCCATGGGATCTGACCCTTCCGGGTGGGGCGGTCTCTTACTGCCTGGCAGTGGGTGCTGGAGGGTGCTTTCCTAGCCGTTCCAAGCTTTTCAGGTTTGACTCGGTCTCAGGAACTCTCTCTTTCCTATCTTATTTGATTTATTAGTCTCAATTTCGATTAGATTGTATTATATTGTGTTATCTTGCATTCCGATATCATAGTTAGTGAAATAAGTTTTCCTCCATAGATTGTTGCCGCTGTTTTTTTTTTCCTCCTTGAGCCCAGTTCCCATTTTGTGGGGCTGGGGGGGGGGGTGTGGGGGGCAGGGGCCTACTGCCCCCTGTCATGGGCATAGATTGATCTAGTTAACTCTGACATTTTCCTAGTTTTTTTTCTCCTACTTGTTGATTAAAACTGTAGAATTCTTGAAAAACAGATCCTCATTACATTAAACAAATAATAAAATAGATTCTGTTCACTGAAGAGGAGCTTAAATTACATTAATACAAAAGAAAATCTAGTGAAACACAACAGAATTATGGACAGGTTGAAACTAAACACCTATCCAAATCTCCATCACACTGTATGCCTCTAAAACACAAACTTGGGGAATTAAAAAAAAAAAACACAAACTTTTATGCAATGGTTTGTCAAGTATAAAAATGTCAAATACAAAATGCAAAATACTATTGGATGCCCCTGTTTATTGCAGGGGAGTTGGACTAGATGTCACGGTTTTATGATTTTTAGTTATTGGTATTCCACATCACAGCATCATGTAGTGCACTGGGAGTTAAAGCGTTAATGCTCCAGTTCTGGGTACCTGTCTGGGAAGAACTTCTACATCCCCCAGAGGACTGTATGCTTTTCTGTTACCATTTCCACTCAGAGGGAGAAGATAAATACCATCCACAGAACATTTTCTGCCCCCTTCCCTTTTGACTGTCTGACTTGTCTCTGTTGCAGGTGCCATCTCATCACAGCATTAGAGCAAGGCCTTCGGCTTTCAGACACTCTCCTTTAATTTGATTTATTAGCTTCAATTCTAATTATATTGTATTATATTGTATTATCGTGTATTATCTTGCATTCCAATATCTTATTTAGTAAATGAGTTTGTTTATCCTCAGATCGTTGCCGCTGGTTTTTTTTAGGCCCATCTCTCTACCCTTTTTTCTTTTTTTTTTTTCCTCTCTCTCCATTTTCCCTTTCCGGGGCATGGATCCGTGGGTCCCCCCCACCCTGCTAGTCACAGAACCAGGCCGAACCAGCCCGTAAACTGTTGACACTAGATGACCTTTAAAGGTCCCTTCCAACTCTAAGGATTCTATGATATATAAATCTACCAAAAACTATTTTCACTGGATATGTACAAATAAGTTTCCTTTCTCTGAGTGTAGCAATGGCACCACTACAGCCATTACATGAAATTCCCTACTTAAGACTGTTGGTACTGTATATCATCGCATGGAGGATTCAGTCAGACACCTATATAATAGAATAATAGAATCCTTAGAGTTGGAAGGGACTTCTGAGGGCCATCTAGTCCAACCACCCTGCAATGAACAGGCCCACCACAGCGAGATCAGGTTACCCAGAGCCTTATCCAGCCTTACCTTGAAAGTCTCCAGGAATGGGGTATCAACCACAACACTAGGTAACCTGTTCCAGTGCCTCACCACCCTCACTGAAAAAGATTATTTCCTTTTATCTAACCTAAATCTACCCTCTTTAAGCTTGAAACCATTTCACCTTGTTCTATCACCACACACCCTGCTAAAAAGTCTGTCCCCTTCTTTCCTGTAGCTCCCCTTTAGATATTGAAAGGCCGCTATCAGGTCACCTTGCAGACTTCTCTTCTCCAGGCTGAAGAGCCCCAGTTCTCTCAGCCTGACATCATAGGAGAGGTGTTCCATTCCATGGACCATTTTTGTGGCCCTCCTCTGGACGGACTCCAGCAGATCTACGTCTCTCCTGTACTAAGGACTGCACATCTGCAGTACTCCAGGTGAGGCCTCACCAGCATAGAGTAGAGGGGCAGGATCACCTCCCTTGACCTGCTGGCCATGCTTTTTTTGATGCAGCCCAGGATACAGTTGGCTGCAAGGGCACATTGCTGGCTCATGTCCAGCTTCCTATCAACCATCACATAGAATCAAAGAATCACAAGGTTAGAAAGGACCTACAAGATGATCTAGTACAACCGTTGTCCTATCAGCATTACTACCCACTAAGCTACTAAACCATATCTCGTAGCACCTCATACAGATGCCTCTTGAACATTGTCAGGGACGGTGACTCCACCACCTCCCTGGGTAGGCCATTCCAGTGTTTGACCACTCTTTGAGAGAAAAATGTTTTCCTTATATCTAATTTAAATTTCTCCTGGCACAACTTGTGGCCATTTTCTTGGGTCCTATTTGTTGCCTGGGAGAAGTGGCTGATCCCCTCCTCATCACAACCTCCCTTCAGGAAGTTGTAGAGTGCAATGAGGTCTCCCCTGAGCCTCCTCTTCTCCAGACTGAACAATCCCAGCTCCCTCAGCTGCTCCTCATAAGACTTGTGCTCTAGACCCCTCACCAGTTTCACTGCCCTTCTCTGGACACGTTCCTGGGCCTTGATGTCTGTCTTGTAGTGATGGGCTCAAAACTGAACACAATATTCAAGATGCGGCCTCACCAGTGCTGAGTAGAGGGGGGATGATTACCTCCCTGCTCCTGCTGGCCACACTATTTCTAATGCAGGCCAGGATGCCATTGACCCTCTTGGCCAATGACCTCCAGGTCTTTTTCAGCAGGGCTGCTCTCAATCCTTTCATCCCCCAGCTTGTACTGGTAATGGGAGTTGCCTCAACCTGGATGCAAGACCTCACATTTGGAGTTGTTGAACCTCATGAGGTTCACCTGGGTCCACTGCTCAAGCCTGTCTAGGCCCCTCTGGATGGCATCCCATCCCTCTAGTGTGTCGACTATAACAGTTTTATGGAACATTAGGCTGACAAATCCCTCAAGTGGAATTTGAACCTTAAATACAAGACTAATGCCAAAGTAAAATAGAGGGTATATAGCCCAGAAAACAGAGCGGTAAAGACAAAAATATTTAAAGTTTATTATATAGAACTCCCCTTACCCACGTAGTAGTTTTAGTATTATGATCGATGAAGAAGGGCCTGCCGTTGGGTGCTATCCGCATCTCCCAACCAGGAGGAAGGAAGCTTTGTGCAACTTTGTTCTGTGGTTTAGGAGAGTTGTAGGGTGAGGGCTGTAGAGACTGTGGGTTGGAAAGTGTGTCCTTCACTGCTCTGCGCACCGGAGAGTCCTTCATACCCTGAGGAAATAGAAGATATAAAGATTTGCCAAATGCCACTTAATAAAAAAAACTGAATAAAACACGTTCCTAAAATAAATGTACACTCCTTATCAGTTTGAAGTCATAGATTTTCAACCATTTGTCCAGGGGAAAAGGTGAGAAAGGACAAATAAGGCACTGCACTTTCAGTTTGAAGATGAGATTTTTAAGAACTTACTTTCCGCAACACAGCAATGTTTAATTGATTCGTAAGGTTTAATCATATGTTTAGAAGTAAAACGCAAATCATCCCTGATTGCATAGGAGGCCACATAAGTTATTTCTCTGATATGTTGCAGTAAACAACATTCAACAGTATTCTGAATTATTTTTAAAGATACTTAAATTGAAATTAATTTTAAAGATACTTAAATATCCTTTTGAAAGACAAGGAATATAGAACTGAATCAATATCTTAATTCCAAGAATGCAAAATCACTTGCATGGATTATTTTAAAACTTATCACTGTCAAATGTTTCAACTGAAAAAATATTTCTGATTTTATATAAGTGCAGAACTTGTAAGGAGTCACAACAAGCCACGTTTCAGGTATGCGCAGATTAAGTCATAGCTGACCAAATCAAAATATAATATGTAAGACAGACTATTCATACACATCATTCAATCATCATCAAAGTTAAATAATTCTGTTGTACAATATAAAGATCCAGGTGGAAAACTGCTAAAGAAAACAGCAACATATTATGTCAAAATTAACAATAGGGAATAGAGGCTGTGTAGCATAATTAAAGAGGAAATAAAAAGTTATAAAGATAACAAAGAGAGAAGTCAGATATAAGTGGTCTGTTGCTAACAGTGTTTCTCACCTCAAGTGGAGCAGATAAGGTTACTGAGGGTGAACTGAGGCTGCGAGGCCGTCTGATTTGAGATTCACTTAAATTGTTGTTGTTGTTTGCTGCTGACCCAAACATGCCATCTTCTGCAAGCTATTTCAGATGCAAAACCAAGTTAGCCAGTCATCAGGAACACAGTTCATCAAGAGTCAGGACATTTAAAAAATGATGTCAATATTTAGTATCAATATTATGATATACTAAGTATACTATTTTAAAAATCATAGAATCATAGAATCAGAATGGTTTGGGTTGGAAGGGACATTTAAGATCATCTAGTTCCAACACCCCTGCTATAGACAGGTACACCTCCCAGTAGACCAGGTTGCTCAAAGCCCCATCCAGCCTGGCCTTGAATGCTTCCAAGGAGGGGGCATCCACAACCGCACCGGGCAACCTGCTCCAGTGTCTCACCACCCTTGCAGTAAAGAATTTGTTCCTGATATCTACTATAAATCTACCCTCTGCCAGTTTAAAACCACTTCCCCTTGTCCTGTCACAGAATCACAGAATCACAGAATCACAGAATGGCCAGGGTTGGAAGGGACCTCAAGGATCATGAATCTC